GCAAAGTGGGATCATTGAGTTAACATGGAACATAAATTATATCTTTTTAAGAATTAGATTTTGAGGTTCTGTAGCCTATCTTTATGGTATTGCCTCTGTTTAAAATAACAATGAAAAAAATACAATATTAGTGTTTTGTAAAAAGAATATCTTAATATTGTAAACAGCAGCTCTTTTCATTGTTCCTACTTTTGTGCTTGAGTTGCCTGATCTCTGACTGCTCTCACATTCACTGGTCGATTGGTTTCTCTTCTCCTCCTCCTCCTTTAGTGTTACATTTGGCCAGCCTGAGGTCAGAGGATTTTTATAAAGCAACAATGAGTGCTCAGGTGGAGGAAGTGCTGAGGTGGACGCTACACTGTTGGACCCAAGCCCAAAGAAACATTATGAAGTCAGTCATTGGCTCAAGTGTCTACATTCATAACCGCACAGCACACCAGAGCGTGCTGCATTCATTCTGCTACAGTCTCACCGCTCACTCAAATACTAACCAACAAAAAAGGGCTCATTAATTAGATTGAATTGAAAGATTATAGTGTGTTCTGTAGAGAATAAAATTAATGCGTTGTGTCCATTATTGCTTTGAGTATTACAAAAATCGCAAAATGAGCAGACAAAAAACTCTGATCCACTTTGACATTTCAAAAGCCTGCTATTCATGGCTATTTCAACTTCCCTTTTATAGGTAATGTTGCCCATTAAAGAACCTGCCTCTGGTGCTAAGAACCACTAATAATCAATAAACCTTATTTTGCATCACATAATTACGTAATTGTTGATCAAAATCCTCTATAACATTTTATTGAAAAGACTGTAAAAGAAAATGTATGATATTCCTGTAGAAATATTTATGAAGGTTAACTATCCCAGTTGCAAGCAATTTTCAGATAGTACCTTTTCGTGCTCTTGGAGATGCCAAAAATGACAGCAATAAATATTTTTGTTATCATACTGTACAAGTGAGCTGTAATTGCCAAGAGGAGGAGGCTTGTTGCCGATAGTGACAGCGATGTGCTTGTTACACTTTGATGCTATCTGGTTTTGTGTGGGCGCGTGATTGTTGGGGGATTTGATTTTTATTTATAGTAGCTGTCTCTCCATTTGTAGATTTCATACTTTTCCACTTGTGCGATGTTTGGATGTGTGAAACATAAGGAGCGTTAGTCTGAGTTTAGCCTGAAGCAGATTAAGTAAACACATGAAGAGATAGCTTTGGGGCCAGGGAACTTTGATAACAAAACAATACACCTACTTGCAATTAAAATATGGCAGAAGGATTAAGTTCAGTAGTTCAGTGAGTTTTCTGTGTGTATGCTGAATATAGCTGGTACAATCCCAGTGAGTTTTGATAAATACGATTATCTGAAATGTGAAGATAAGACAAAAAAGTTTCAGAAATGGTCAATAACATTCTGAGGTCAAATTTGATTTGTTTCTGGAGGAATATTATGAAGGATTCTGTATTCATTTTTAAGGCATGGAAGAACGCATTTGGATTCATTGGATTTTTATGGTGCCTTTTGGGGCCACTTAAAAATGATTGCATATTCTCCCCACACCCAAAATTGACTGACAGCCTCTCTGATTTCCAGCAATAGCGCACATCACATTCTTATACAGGCAAGGTGGCTGAAGTGTCTTGCCAAAGGACACATATGCACTGGTTGGAGCTGAGTCAAAACTATAAGAGAAGCACTGTACCACCTGATCCACTAGTGCTCCAATACTTATCTTGAACACATTTTTACTTGTAGTGGATTTTTCTGTAATCGATGTAAGGAGGCAAGGTCAAAACCATATAATATAACGCCATAAGTGGTTGGGTCTATGTGCTCTCTTTATATCACTAGATAATAGTTTCTGCTGGTACAATGGCAAAGTGGCTATTGGACTCTTCATACCAGAAACTCCTCAGATGGATTCTCAAATGGGAATGGGATGAGACACAATTCCCGCAAAACTAAACACACTAGATTGGGTCCACAGTTCGGAGTTTTGAACATAGCACCTCATTTCCTAGTTAACCAGATTGTTGGAGACACGTAGAGGCACTTTTTAAAATATTCCATCCAGTCTAGGCTAGTGCATGTCAATGGCCATTGTTATCCTGCCGCTAAAAACAGTCTTACCCACTCCACAAAACAAAATCTATTATTACGCCAGACTATCAATGTACATGACTGTGTTGATAGAATAATTTTAGAAGTAAAACCAATATTGCATTTGATAGAAAGTTCGGCAGCGGCGGACTGATATCACCTAGCACCTGTCTTAACGGCAAAGAGAATAGTCCCTCAACATGTGACAATTCATGTGATGCAAGGTTAGTTTTATTTTAAACATTATTCTATCAACACAGATCGACACTCTGGTGTAATAATAGATTTTCTTCAGGTGCTTTGTGGAGTGGGTAAGACTGTTTTTAGTGGCAGGATAACTATGGCCATTGACATGCACTAGCCTAGCACCAGTGATCTCTGCAGATACAAGGACTGGATGAAATATATAAAAAAAGTGTCGCCACACGTCTCCAACACTCTGGCTCACTAGGAAATGAGGCCCTATGTCCAAAACTCCAGACTGTTCCTTTAATTTATAATATGTAAGTTGTGCTGTTTAGTTCACCATTTTGGCTGCACACTTTTGATGTATTTTATCTTATATTTTTGTTGTCATTGTAGCACTGAATGTTAAAAGACAGATGTAAATGCATGAGGAAAAAAATCATCTTATTGCAAGATCTTGTTCTACCATTATTCTCTAATTCTCAGCCTTAAACATGCACAAAATGTAGCTAGGTACTCTTGGCCTAGCTCATATCCTGCAGACATTTGCTCCTGACAGTGCTGCCTGCTTGACGGATGGCTCAGCTGCAGAGAACAATAAAGTATACATAACTTTTGTTTTGTAATATTCACATTTAGAGGAAAATGCAATGCAGTGAGATACAGCCCCTCTGCTGCATCCTCGTTATCAGGGGGAGCTGTGTGGGCAGGCAGCGGCAGATTTATGGTATGGTTGATGTTGTAATACAAACTCCAAATGCTCGCGTATACAAGCTGCCAATCTGAAGTCCCAGTGCAGTGAAGGATGACTTGGCTCTAAAGTAGGCCAAGGACCAGAGTGAAGGACGTGCACATTCTGAGTCATATCTCCATTCTCCACGGGTTTCTCCAAAATAGCAGATTATGCAAGCGAAATGAGCCGTCACCACTCGCTGTGTGTTGTTCCACCAGCCTCCTCTTCTCAGTCTCCTGCTCTGAGTGTTCTGTTTGACCTTTGGATGTGCGGAAGTACGAAGTAGTTTCTATGGAGTATTTGTCTTGGTTTTAAATAACTTGAATCAAGACTCAGTTGCAGTTGCGAGCACACAGTAGCATTTATGGGGAGGGAATGAATGATTATGCTGTGTCATAGCATTAAAGGTGCACTGTGTAACTTTCCTGGTTTGGGTCTGCCAGCTACTTGATGGATTTGGTGTCTGGCGCTTTGCATTCGGACAGTTACAGATGTGTTTATTTCTCAAGATTACGTTGACAAACATAGATTTGTTTCTTCTCAGGTCTCTTCCTCTCAAATCTCACCTAAAACTTTGCCTGCATAGTGTCACCTGCTTGTTTCTATGGCAATAAATAAGATTAATTCCATACTCATATTGTCAAACCTTTCATGGAAATAAGCAGGTGGCAGATCCTCTACCGGAAAAATTACATAGTGCATCATAGTGTAATCTTTAAATAACTGCAGCTATGAGTGATATGAAAATCTGTGATCTGATAAAATGTAAAATATTTTGATGATTTAGTTTTACTTGGCTCGTTTTTCTCTGCTGAATGTAGCTCTATGCTAACACAGACACTTGCTCAGCATGAGTGACAGCTGGATTTAACCTAAGTGAAATGTGAATTTTCTGAACCATATGGCTGGAGGAATATAAACCTCAAGTGTAAGTGAAACATGATACAACTGAAATAAGGGTACTCATAACCAATTTGCAACCACTGCAATGTACTAATTGTGATTTTGATTCAGTTACAATAAATTTTCCAGGCCTGCACATGATGGATGTGCAGCACAAGAGATCGAGGCTGTGTGCTTCCACGATAGCTGTAAAGTGGGTAAACGGTTTAGCCACATCACGTTGGCGTATTGTTCTAGCTGAAGTGCAGATGACACTGTGCTCTGTGTGGGTGAGGGCTCTTTGCAGCAGAGATCACTGTTATTGCTCTGCACCAGGAGGAAGTGAGATAGAGCTGGTGACTGACAGCGTTCTTCTTGTTTTGCTGTGGCTGCTCCGTATTTCCATGTTCTTGACATCTGATCAGAAAGCACAAGCATTTTACTCTTGTGGTATGGAAAAACCGTCTGTGTCCAATAACCTCACTGACTGCAATGGGAAATAGAAATGCATATTATATAACCTTTTAATAAAGAGATGGTTTGATATGTGTTTTTTTTTAGATGATACTGATATTCAGTCTCTGCCCTCCATCAAACACCATCAGATTCTGGAAAGTGAACACAACCTATGGGTTTTCAGGGGGTTTTTTTTCTCTCTCATTCAAAAGATGTAATATTTATTTCTGAATTGTAAATCATAATTTGGTAACCCATGGATTGTTCTTGTATTTTGTGGGGATCTCACAAGTCTGTTTAAAAAGAAAACCTCTCCACCTTTTTTTGCTCTCTTTTATTCACTTGTTACCAATGCAAACTAGCTATCTCTTTCATGGATTCTGACAATTCTATCTTTTTCTGTAATATATCAGCGGATTAAAGAGCTTTTTGTGATTCAGCTTTGAATATAGTGAAGGACACTTATATCTTACCGAACAGGGCAGTTTTTTTGGAGAACTAAATGTCAAGTGCTCACTTTTCAATAAATGTGTTCGTATATTCAAAAACCTAGGCACATTCTGTAATACTTTTTGAATGTTCCATATCTAATACACAAAATTCTTCCAATATTTACATGTGTGTGTCTGTTTTCTGTCTTTCAGGAGCATGTTTGAGTGACAGGCCAAAGAGGAAGTGGGATCTCTGAAGCTCCGCCCACTCCACTGGTGGAGCGCCCTGTACATCTCGGCAGAGACCCCCAAATCACTTCTACAGGTACAGTATCAGAGAGTTTAGTTTCAGACTTATGGTGTTTCTCTTTTTAATGAGCACAGTTTACGCAAAGTTCTACTTTAATTAAATCCTGCATATTTGAGTGTGAGTAATCCTTCATTGTCCTGCATTCACCCTAATTCTTTGCACTTCTCTGTAGTACTTACAGCAATTATTCCAAAAAAATCTAGCTCTGGGTCATACATGTAGGGTTCAAAAATGTTACGTAGCCATTTTTCAACAATAAAAACATATGAATGAAAATCTGCTGATTGCTTTGGTGAAATGCCACTATGAAGAGGCAGGGCTACTCATTTCTGCAGGAAGTCCATGATCTGTTTATTCTCTCAAACATTTCCAGATCAACATTACGGCATGTCGTGATCTAACTGTGATCATCTATGCAAGTTGTTAGTTAATAGTTTAATAAATATTCGCAAACCACATGACTTGTTTAAGTGTAGGCAGGGTGCAGTTTCCCACCACTGCAGACGATTATATGAGTCCTCATCATGTCTAACCATGTGGAAATGAGAATAGTGTTGTGTTGAATCATAACTTGTGCGAGGCTCTTCCCTCTGGCGTCATGGTGATGGAGGGTGTGTCCCTGTGGTTTGGACAGGCCTGTGTGTGTATAGTGTTGTAATGGCCTATTGCACATGTACAATGCTTACAGTGTCTGTGGTTAGCTCACACTGCACTGTGCTGTCAGGGGAGCTCCACTGTGACAGTAATGTGTATTGATTTGGCTGAAAATACACGGCTGATTGGACTTTGAAGTGTTTAATTCCACTTTGCTACAGTGCCAACCTTTAAATTGATAATCCATTTTGTTTGGGACTTTTGCGCTGCCATAGGCACTTTGAGTCAGCAGTTTGTAAAACCTTCTCCCCAACACTGACCCGAGCTCACCTTGTGGTTAAAGTAGATTTTTGTCTGTAAACTTAGCCATGTCCCCCCAAACTGACCTCATATTTAGCAAAAGTGTGTTATAGTGTTCATTCACAGCACCACATATTTCTGCACCAGTGAGTCCTTTCCATTTACTTTGGAGGATACTGCACGGTCTGGACAAGGGCCAGTTAATACCAGGGATGACTCACATTGACAGTCATTCACTTTACATAGTGAACTATAAATATTTAATAGTTCTATTAAGATCGGTCGAAATTATGGGAAATTACCTGCAGCTTTATTTTTCAGTGTTAAAATACGGTTAGAGTATCAAAGGCATCAGTGTACCCATTTCTACCATAACTGTACGGTTAACTTTGGTAACCTTGAAGAATCTTTTTATTGCCAGTCCAATAACATGACCCAAGAAATAACTGTAATTTGAACAGAATCATACCTTAACACACAAAATTTGTCAACTATTCGTTTTATTTAGATTAGAAGGATTTATATGGATTTATATGGGGCAACAGCAAAAAAGAAAAGAGTGAGCTAGCTGCACATCTGGTATTTTTAGGTATTTTTAACCTGTTTAAAAGCAGATTAAACTCATCATTCAAATTGAATAACCATTAATCATCGTTATGAAGCTACATGTTATATGCATTGTTTATACTTTCTGCATAAATAACTGTTTTTGCATGTTTTTGCAGTTGTAGTCCTGTGAGAGAAGTTTGGTTCAGATACAGAAGTAATAGTTTTGAGAGTTTTTGCCCCGCCCCTTTTTTATTCGGCTAATTGCTCTGCAGGACACCTCTTAGTCAACCAAGAATTTCTTCAGTCGACTGCAGCCTTATTATTTTTAGATCGCTGCATTACAAAATACATAGATATTGAATCTTCCTGGCACAACACTACATGCCACATACTTCACACAGAGATATTGTTATTATCAAGGCTTTGGTTCCCCTCGGTGATCAGAGCTTTAACCTCTCTGCCACCTGCCCCCCTGTACCTACAAGTGTACTAAATTAATAGTCCTGCCTTTGTGTTTTATGCTAATATGATAAACACACTCGCCGCTAGCATTTGTTATGCCGATCCCCCCTCTGTTCGGCTCTTCAAGGTCACGACCTGGAAATGAATGCCTCCAGTCTCTTTCACCAGCTGCTGAGAGCACGGGCTAATTGAGATTTGGGAGTACTTAGATTTTCTGTAAAACTGAGCTCCATTATGGTGATAACTTGTATAGTCCTGGTTTAGACTTGGTTAAATCCAGATTAAGTCTAGAATTAGTCTGGATCCTGTCTTGGTTTAGACCTGGTTTAGTCCATGTTTTTAGTCCTAGTTTCTCTTTCACTTACAAGTCTTAAAATTGTTATATATAAATTTGGATACCAGTTATAATCTTGGTTTAGTCCTGGTTAAGCCCAAGTTGTTTTGAATCAGACCTGGTTTAGTTCTGGTTATCTATGACCTTGGTTGAGTCCTGTTTATCCTTTCTTAATAACATCTGGTTCAGTCCTTTTTTAAATTTTTTTAGTCCTTGTTTTTCCCAAATGTTTTCCCGGTTTAGCCCTGGTTGTTTAGCCCTTTTAATAAGATCTGTTTCAATCTTGGTTTGGTTTGGCTCCTAATTTTATTTTATTTTTTTCTCATTTAGCCCTATTTACTTATGAATTTCTTCTTGGGTTATCCTCTGTTCCTCCTCTAAACCTAATTCAGACCAGGTTTAGTCCTGGTTATATGATCCTGGTTGTTTTACTCCTGGTTTTTATATTTCCTTTGACCTTTTTTTGTGTATTCCAAATATCTTCCTGGTTTATTTGCTTTGGTTACGCCTTTAAATCTTATTCAGACCTGATTTAGTCCTGGTTATGTGATGGTTGAATCCACTTTTATGGCGTATTTAGTAGTGTTTAGTAAAGTCTGGGTGTGTCCTGGTGGAGCACTGTTTTAGTGACATTTTTACCCACTTTGGCCCTTTTTTATATATATATATCTTCCTGTTTTATCCTTGGTTTCTCCTTTAACCCTGTTTCATTCGTGGTTCAGCCTTTACATCGTGACCTCATTGGAGCCTGTGTATCTTAAATTGAGCCATAGCTTCAGACAGCCTCTCCTCCTCCCTTGTATTTCCTAATATTATCCCACGTCTCGTTCCACTCCAGTTCAGAGGCATTACAGCAGTTGAGAAAATCACTCCACCCATCAGCGTCGTCTTGGAAACGATTGAGCTTATCGAGCCAAAATGACCCAAGGACAGACACGCAGAGCTGCAGTTATCTCATATGAGGAGGCAAAAGCTTTTACACATGGCTTTATGGCTGTACAAGTCATTTGGAATATAGTCAGAGAACACATTACGGAGAAGTCTTATCAGATAATTAACTGCGCAAATGTTGGGATAATTAATAACACTCAAATCCATCCAGAAATGTCTCTAGCAGTTGGGGATGTCAAGATTGTTTGGTTAATTAAGAGGCTTCCTGTGGTTATTCAGGTCACAATATGATCATAGGAGCAAAAACCTCATAAGCACGACAATTTTAGAAGCCAAATATCAATTCGACATATTAGGGCTGTAGTCAGTTAACCGGTTGATGGTGTCTTAAGTCAACCAAAGTTTGTATTAGTATTAATTATTTTATTTAAATTATAAGGATTTACGGACAGCAACAGAAAGAACAAGTTAGTGAGTGAGTTAGCTGAAGATTTGGTTTTTAAACTTTTCTGGTGGAAGGTCTGTCAAATGCTTTTCTCCATGAAGATGTTATTGCTTTGTCTGGATTTTTTTACACACATCATGAAGAAAACCAAACCAGACCATGTTACAGGAGAGATCTGTGGAGAGGCAACCTGCTCACAGCCAGAATGCCTGTTTTTTCCACTTATTGTTGAGCTACAAATCTGTAATTGACAGTGTGTATCTTTAAACTCATAATAAACAAGTTTAATTTGTCTTCATGTGAATACATTGTTTTCTAGTACTTTTTTCTGCGTAGTAGTAGTTGTTTTTGCATTAACTCCCATCCAGGGGTAGTCTTGTGAGTGTAGTTTCTTTCAGATACATAGAGATACGTAATAGTTTTGAGAGCTTTGGCCATGCCCCCGTTTTAGTCGACTAAAAAGGGAACGGAAGGAAATGTCTTCTTTAGTCATCCAAGAACTTCTTTAGTTTACTTCAGATAGTTAAACCAAAATGTGAATTTATAATCTGGTGGTTTGTGTCACATTGACAGCTTACAGGCAGAGGTAATGGTTTAACAAAGAAATACTGTTATGAAAATGTATTTGGTTCTTAAAAACAGTGATATGTTGCAAAATATGGGCAACATATTGATTATCGCATGTATCTCCATATTGTGATAATATTATGTCTTGTATTGTATTGTACTGAATCATGAGGAACTCTGCAATTCCCTAGTCAGGCTGGTGCCACCTAGTGCCTCCGCTCAATTTCATGTCTCTCCAGCGACTAGGTCAGGAATCGGAATACACTAGATGGTTCGCAAAAACCCCGGAAGTGCGAGTTCGGGCACCAGCCAATCGGAGAAGAGCCGTATGTATTCAGTGTTGTCAACGATTCCTGAGATTGAGGATTTAAAGCCGGAACAAAGAGAATGTTCGGTGAATTTTATCAAGGGGAAAGACGTTATTGCCCTTCTTCCTACAGGATTTGGGAAAAGCTTAATATATCAGTTAGCCCCGTTAGTGGCACATTACATACATCACGACCAAATAGCAGCAATTGGTTAATTTAAAAAAGTACCCGCCTACCATCAAGCGAATGAATCCTAACACTGTGAGGTCAGCTGGTTTCTGCCAAGTGAAACCAGCTGGTGAATCAGGCCAGTGATTCCCAGCCCTAATTTCAGTTCAGTCTATATCCCAAAAAGTCTACTACTGTGACTTCCTTTTAAATCTGACCATTTGTCTCATTAAAATTATTCAGAAAGTTTGATTGTGTAAAGTTGGTCAAATACGAGTGGAATTGTGATCTATTACACATGTGAATAAAGAAAACTAAGGATTTCACAGTCATAGTGTCAATAACCGTGAATAACTGTTACATTGTGATGTAATACGAGATTTTTGTATTATTGTAT